AGAGAGAGAGAGAGAGAGAGAGAGAGAGAGAGAGAGAGAGAGAGAGAGAGATTGGAATATAGGCTAAAATTTAAAATCTTTTTAGTAGCATAGTACATATGAGGATCAATTAGAAGCTGAATGATAATACTGACATATAAGTGCATAAAATGGAGATTTCATATTATAGAAGGCACAACAATATTTTAGAATTTAGATTTGGCCAGGAACTTAGTGCAGCCTCATGGTGTCTGCCTGGCAAGCGAGAGGTTCTAAGTTCAAGTCCTGTTGTCAACACACACAAAAAACCAAACACATGTTCAGAATTTAGATTTTATTACATTAATTCAACAAAGCAAGTATGAATTTTAAACCAAGGAGTTGACGGATGAGGTAGGTGAAGGATCTGTCTTGAAAGAATTACCACAGAGGAGCAAGTAGTTTTCCTATTTTGTAAAGTCATACCCTTAAAATATTGGTGCTGAAAAGTATGTAATTATGTAATATAATTATGTAATATAATTACTCTTTCGCATATATACTTTCTTTTCTTTTCGGCAGTACCAGGGACTGAACTCAGGACCTTATACTTGCCAGTCCGGCACTTATGCCACTGAGCTATCTCCTGAGCCCTCCTCAGCACATATAAAGACCACTGAGATATAAACTATGCAAAACAAATAAAAAAATATTGGTAAATCTGCTTTAGGAAGTGATTCACTCCTTCATGTCAGTATTACCAATTCCTGGTCTGGTAACCTATAGGCTTTAATTTGCTAAGGGACATACAACATTTGGAAACCTCTGAATTTGCTCATTTTGGTGTTCTGAAGAACCAAGATGAGTATAAGCTCACCTTGTGGCCTTCTTACAAATTGACCATTCAAGCTGTTGTTCCCAAAAATATATATTATTTCAAGTGGTTAAAAAAATTTAAAAAAAAAATCTCTCCTACTATCAGCCCAACATAATTCACTTTCATTCTCTAAAACTTCTTATCTTGAATATAGCCTTTCTTTGGGAGACCCAAGAAGAAAGTAAGTGACATAATGAGTGACTCATTCCCCTCAATGGTGTCCTGATTTTCTGGGCTTTTATTTGGAGCTCCTTTTCCTACTAATATAAATGTGCCTCCAGACCTTTGAGATTACCACACTGCTTGTGATTTCCTTCCTAAAGCATCGTGGAGCAGAGGCCAAGGGCATGCACCAAGTCAGGACACTGCTCAGCTAGCTTTCTGTTTCAGGTGTTCTCCTTTACTAACCCTTTCTAAAAATACAATTGTTTAGTTCAGTGAACAGCTTACCATTTCACACCACCTCTGAAAGTAAGTACTAATTGCAAACATTTTCTATTAATAGAAGTGTTAACTGAGTGAACAAAACGAAGCAATTATTTCATGCTAAAATTAACAGCAGGCATGGGAATGCATGTGGGAGAATTTTGACCTTGAGAACTTCTGCAGAATTGCTCTCGATTGCCTCAATTCATTTGTTATTCTACATTATAAAGAGAATTTGGAAATCTTGTGTTCCACTGTTGAGGGGTAGCACCCTACATAAGAATCAATACTATCATAATACCTGCAATGGTACTTGAGCACTGAAAAATGATTCTTCTGCTTTCTGTCAGATATCCAGGAAATTTGAGCAATACTAAGCTAGAGCAAGTAGGGGCAGAATATTCTATTTTTTGGATAAATGCAATAACTGAAATACATGTTTATATAAATTTGAATTTTTGACTGAACCATGAATATTAAAAACTTGAGGCTGATATTTATGTTATTTAATTATAATATAGGTTGGAAACAACATTTTATATAAAATACCAGTTGCTACTATGGCAATGTGTCTGCTCCATCTCACGTGGTTGTGCTGACCAAGACTGATCTTTCTGGCAACTTATGTTTGAAATATACTTAACTGTACAGTGGTTTATACAAATCTCTTATCTTCCCTCAAATCCCTTCCTTTCTTCTCTCTCTCTGTCTCTCTCTCTGTCTCTCTCTCCCTCCCTCCCTCCCTCTCTTCCCCTCTTTGTCTCTCCCTCTCTGTCTCTGTTTTTTATTTATTTTTTTGTGGCCAGCTCAGCCCACCCTGGGGACAGAGTTAATGTGGCATGTGGTGCTGAGGATCGAACTGTGGTCCCTGTGCACTTGCCTAAGCTTGCCTAAGAATGCGCTTTAGACCACTGAGCTATCTTGCTGGCCCTCTTCTCTCTTTTCAAAAAATTGGCTTACTGTGACAGATAGATGCATATAACTTTCAGAGATAGCAAATAATTTTAGTATTGATTGTCTGGATGATTTGTGCCAAACACCTTCACTGAAAGAAAGAGAGCCTCTTTAATAAACAGTTCTGAAAAAACTCAATTTGCACATGCTGAGTTTTAAAACTATACTCAGATCTTTAACCATGCACTAATTAAAATTGAAATGGATTAAAGATCTAAAGATTAAAACAGAAACACTAGATCTTATGGAAGATAGGAAGAACTCTTGAAGACATTAATGTAGCTGAAGACTTTACGAACAAAACCCCAGTCACACAGGAACTATCAGAAAGAATCAACAACTGGCATCACATTTTATTGATGGTATTTGCATAGCAAGAGAAACTACCAATGGAGTGAAGACACAACTCCATGTGGGAAAAATAATTTAGCCAGCTGTTCCTCAGATGAAAGATTGCCACCTAGAATATATAAAGGATGCAAGCAAATCAGTCCATCCAAATTTAAAGACCTATTCCAAAAATGGGCATCTGAAACAAATAGACACTTCCCAGATAAAGAAGGAGAAATGGCAAATAAATATATGTTGAGATTACTTCTATGATGAAAGATTTTCTACTTCATGTGATTAAAGTTTGCAGACACATTATCAAGTACAAGAGAATTTTTTTTTTTCAGAACTGGGGATTGAACTCAAGCCCTTGCACTTGCCAGGCAAGTGCTTATTCTACTGAGCCATCACCCCACCCCCCAAGAGTCTTCTTTGTAGAATTTCAGAAGAAATATACTCATGAATTAAAAATGGAAAAATAGTTATCCGAGGTCATAGGATTGCAATCTGAGATGAATGTTTTGTTCATTCAAGAAATACCTTCATTTTAATATTATGGTTTATATTCCTTAAGACAAAATAATTTTCAACAAATAGCTTAGTGTTAAGTGAAGTTCAAAGATAAAATATTTATCTCATCATTTAAAACTGAAATCTTGTTGTATTTTTTTCTCTTCACCTCTGGGCT